TTTTCATGCCAGTTCCCACAATGCTGTAGATAAAGCCATTTATTTCCTGAAGTTTTTTTAAAAAAAAAAAAAAAAAACCTTGAAATTACCAGCTTCACCTGTTAACAAAGATTCATCTCATTAGTGATGGAGCTTTCAATTGATTCCATATGGCAAGAAGATATCTAAGAGTAAAACATCTTTTTATAATAAAGTCCTTGATAGGTTAAGCAGCTGTGTTTTACTATCCTTCGGGTCGTAGATACAATTCTCTACTAATGCAATCTAAGCTTGAATGCTCACGGCCTGGCTTTCCTGAGTTAATGTCGCCATCAGCCAGTAGCTCCAGCACCTAGAGTGTCACCTGAGAAGACAAAAGGTTTAATCAGCCTAACAAGAGAACTAAATCAGCACTTCTTACAAAGGAGGGAATTAACTAGACACTTTGTCTTACTCCTCTTACTGCAGTGTGGAGCAGGGGTGGCCATTTCAACTATAGGAAGAGAGATGGATAAACTGGTATAAGTGGTTTAGTGCCTCCATATGGGGCATGTGACAGAAAGAGCCTGTGTAAGGCATTACTTACTCCCTGGAACTGTTTGTCCCTGAAGTGCTTTGAGTGTTCAACAGGAGACCCTAGAGAATTCTCTGGTTCTTCAGCAGATGTCCAAAGGCCAACAGTTAGAACTGAGGTCTCAGAGAAGCTGGGTCTGCAGGTAACCATGTGTATGATGTTGAGAGATGGGCTTTGGGATCCACTGGATTTTAAACCCTGGTTCTGCTATTTACCAGTCATGTAACCTTGGGCAAATTACCTTACCTCAGTTTTCCTATGGGGAGCTCTGGTAGGGTAATGCCTAAGGCACTTCACTGCTAACCAGAAGACTGGTGGTTCAAACACACCAGCCAATCCTCAGAAGGAAGGTTGGGCAATCTACTGCTGTAGTGATACCGCCTCGGAAACCCAAGGAGGGGTCATTATGAGTCGAGGCCCACTCGAGGGCACATAACAACAACAACAGTTTTTCCATGAGATTTGAGCATAGTTCCTGCTGCATTGAAGTTGTTCAACTCGTAAAAAGTATTATGAAGTGGCTAACACAGTGCTTGTCACAGGCCACATGATAGGATTAGGTAGACTGTGACTGTTTTCTTAGTAGGTATACTTAGCTCCTGTTGCCACTTAAACGTGTATACACAATTCTTGGTGACAATGTCCACAGGTTTAGGACAAAACAGTTGGTCCTGAGCAGGTGGGATCTCCTTGCCTAACTTCTGCTCACCCTCCCAGGCTCATCTGAGACACTCCTACTTCTCATCAGGTTTCTGATCCCCCTCCCCTGGGAGGATTAGCCCCTTTTCATGTGACTCCTGTGGACACTTTGCCCTACCTCATGCCACTAGCACTACACCAGATGGCAGCAGTACTTGTTTCTGCCTCTAACGGACATTGCTCCTGAAGTTCTTCAAGCACTTTTCAGAAACCTCCATGGCCATGTTTCCCCTGATTCTTTCCTATCTGTATCCATTCCCATTCATTTTTATCGGTTTTTATGGCACAGACATCTCATCCAGGGAATGTTACCTCCAGTAAGCAGACAATAGGCCCAAAGTGCTCATGTCTCCGCAATAACCAAGGCTCATGTCTTCTACCCTCCTACAGTTAAATCCTGCCTCAGACTACCCTTACACAACAGTCTGCAAATGCTCTTGAATTTATTAGTCCCTCAGACTTCTTCCCAGCACTACTGGGTCAAAACTCCAGGAATGAATGCCTACAATTTCAATGAGCATTCCTCTGAGCAGCTCTGACCTCCCTGGACACAAGTGTCACTCACCTGGCATGATGCTCTGAGAACCGTTTACAGTCAGTCCAGGCAGTGTCTCAGCCACACCAAGACCACAGGGCTCTCATGGCAGGAACTGGGATTGAACTCATCCTGTGGTTCTTTACCAACATCCCTGAGTTTCTCGCTGGGTGCCAGGCTCTGCACTGTCCCCAGGGAGGGTAAAGATGAGCCCAGCAGGGCCTCTTCCCTCTGGGAGCTCCTGGTTACTGGTGACACCAGTAACAGACCACTCAGCATCCAGGGGTACACTAGGCACTGTGGGAACCAAGCAGGGATTGTGACCGCCTCACAGAGACTGATATCTGAGAGGAAGACAGTACAGGTAGAAGGAATCAAACTTGCAAAAGCAAGAAAGAAAATGGGGGAAGGATGTGGCATATAATCAAGGAGGTGTTTTGGATCATAAGATATTTGGGGAAGCAGAGGGAAAATGACAAAAAAAAAAAAAAAAAAAAGGTTAGGCGCTCTGGTGGCATAGTGTCTAAGGCATTTGACTGCTAAACAGAAGGCTGGTGGTTTGAACTCACCAGCCATCCCTCCGAAGGAAGATTGGGCAATATACTTCCGTAGTGATACCACCTTGGAGGCCCAAGGAGGGGTCGCTATGAGTCAGTTCCGACTCCACAGCAGTGAGTTTGGTGGGGTTGTTTATTTTTGGAAATGAAAGGAGGGACCAGCTTTGGAAGGGTTTGTTTGCCTGGCTAAGGAGCTCGGGCTTTTTCTTTCCCCACCCACACGGAAACCCTTGTGTGCCTACATGCTGCTGCTAAGTGTACAGTGTTGACTAGAGTAGGCACCGTTCCTCCTCACCTGGAACTTACAGTCCAGCAGGAGAAACAAACATGACATTATCAGACAAATATGTATGTCAGGAATGCTCTCAAGTAGGATAGTGATGTGATCTGATTGCATTTGAGAAATCATGCTGGCCAGAAGAATTGGGGAAGACTGGGAGGAAGGAGACAGGAAAGGACCTTATGGTTAAATGCCATCCACCGTAACAGTTTAGGCCTACGCCAAGGTAGTGGGATCAGGTGTCCTACTATGACTAGCTGGATAAAAACCAATTGCCGTGGAGTCCGCTGCGACCCGTGGCAGCCCCGTGTGTGTGTCACACTGTGCTCCATCAGGTTTTTAGGGGCTGATTATTCAAAAGCACATCACCAGGCCTTTCTTCCAGGGTGCCTATGAATGGACTTGAACTACCGCCCTCTTGGTTTGTAGTTGAGCATGTTAACCATTTGCAGCACCCAAGGACTCCAAGAAAGCAATGAAAAAACAGATTCAGGGAACAGTCTAGGTGGGCTGATAATCTGGAGTTTGGGCCATTTTGAGTTTGAGGTGCCAGTGGGCCCTCCAGGTAAAGACTTAGACACAGAGGTTTGGAGCTCTGGAAAAATGTCTGAGCTGATGCTATTTATCAAGAGTCTTCAGTGTACAAGTGACATTGTGAGCATGGATGAGATCACCTGGAGAGAGGATTACTTGCCCTGCTGTGCTCCCAAGGGTGAGAAGAAATGGTTGAAACACTGGCTGGGCTTCTGTTTATTCTTACTAGCTGAACTCTCTCGGGTGTTTAGCAAGAAAGATAGAAAAATCTATACCAACGTAAGAAATACCATTAAAAAAAGCTTTGCCTCTTTTCTAAGAAATTAATATGCTTTTTTCTCATAGATAATGCAAACCTTGCAAATGAACATGTTTCCCTTCTTGCTTCAGCAGTCAGGAAGCTTAGAGCTAGTTTTCTCATTTAATTTCAGAAAACATAGAGGACTTGCATAGCCAGATACTTTTTTTTCCTTTGTTGTTTTATGTGCTCGTGTAAGCTTCCTCAAATCCTTTGAAAAATTAAATAGGATGTATATAAAAATAAATCTACCCCCACTCTAATTTTTTGGGTCATCTTTGCAACCCTTGTGTAATAAATCTATCCAGTTGCTGAGCTAATGTTGGCTAGAATTAAGCAAGAGAAACTCTTGGAACTTATGGCAACTAGACAATAAACTTCAACACTCACGTAACTCATTAAGGCAGGATAAAAGTAGAGCTTCAAAACCTCTCTGTGTTTCCCACCAAGTCTGTGAAATGGAGGGTACTTTTAATTCAAAGTACGAAAGTCTGATCTTTCAGAATTGAGACCACACCACTGAAATGAAAGACTTGTTTGTGTCGATGAGCACTCCAAGTATGTTCAAAGAAGGATTGAGGTGTTGACTACACAAGAACGGACTTTTTTTTTTTTTTAATAACCTGACTCATAAAAGGTAGTTTGGTAAAAGCCAGCTTCCTTATCTAGTAGTGTAAGCACAGACTTGATTGGATGGTAAATCGTATTTTTTGCTTATCCCTGCCTTTTTTAAATTATTGTTTTAAAATTATAATGTGCCATTGGTTAAGATGACTGTGGTAATGGTTCTCAAGCTGTGTTCCATGGCTGGTGCCTCAGAGGCTGCAGAGGTGCCTGAGACATGGGGGGAAAGGAGGAGGTCACCAACTAGGGGAGCCCAGGCACCACTCACTACCCACGGCTCCCTCCACGGCAGCTCAGCGATGCTCTGTGTAGCAGAGCTCCTTTCGCATGAGGTTTTATCTGGGTAAAGGGTTCCACTCCTAAAAGTAAAACAGAAAAGCCTGGAGATCACTGCATCAGCAGTCACGTGACACTAACTTGCTTTTTGGGTATGATTGTGGGTGTGTGGGGAGCTCTGCTGGGGCAGTGGTTACAGCACTCAGCTGCTAACCAAAAGGTCGGTGGTTCGGCCAGACACTCTGCAAGACAGAGATGTGGCAGTCTGCTTCCAAAAAGATTTGCAGCCTTGAAGACCCTGAGGGGGCAGTTCTACTCTGTCCTATAGGGTCGCTGAGTCAGAATCAACTTGTTAGCGGTGGGTTTGGTTTTTGGTGAGTGGTTGTATGGAAAGGGCGTGGGGTTTGGAATCCTGTGTTCAGTCCAGGATCTGCCTCCTATCAGCTGTGTGACTTTGAGTGGTGACTCTTGCTCTCTGAAGAGAATAGAATAGTGTTGATGATAATAGCCACTTCACCACATAAATGATGATTATGGAAAACAGTCGATGTGCAAGCAGCAGTGCCTACAGGATCAAGCCCTTTGAGAACTGGTTGCTCTCACCTCATGCCTCTGACCCTCCTCTTCCTGTCTCCATTGCCCAGGAAGAGCCAATCACCTTCTGTGAGGAAGCCTTCGTATCCCACTACCGCTCCGGGGCCATGAGGCAGTTCCTGCAGAATGCCACACAGTTGCAGCTCTTCAAACAGGTGCCCACCCCTCCCTACCCTTGGCCTAGAATGGCTTGTGTCTGGATCCCTGGTGGCTATTCCTGCTACTGTCTGCACTCTAAGTCCCGAGTCTGCAGGCATGGTGTGGACCAAAGCCCCACCCCAAAGAGGCTCAGGTTCTGGGAGGGAGGATGGATGAGGAAGGTGGCCAGCGACCCCATAGCAAGTAACGTTGGGCAGTTGTACAAATATAATAAACCCACAGCCAGTATTTTGACACTTATTTTTTAAAACTTATTTTTTGAAAACTCACATGTGGCTGTTCTTTGGTCATACGCTAAGATGCCCAGAGGAATGTTTGTTTGTTTGTCCCCACACCACCACCACCCCACCGCCGCCATTTCTCTGTACAAACTGTTATGCTTTGGTTATCTCTCTATATAGTTTATTGATGGTCGATTAGACCTTCTCAATTCCGGCAAAGGTTTTAGTGATGTTTTTGAAGAGGAGATCAACATGGGCGAGTATGCTGGTAAGAAACACTTCATTTTCCTTCTCTGGGCTGGGGCTGCTGTGCATTAAAATGTGTTGAGCAAGGGGTCGGGGAGCTCTGGTGGCGTAGTGCCTAAGGCATTTGACAGCTGACCAGAAGGCTGGCGGTTCAAACCCACCAGCACTCCTCAGAAGGAAGGTTGGGCAATCTACTTCCGTAATGATACCACCTCGGAAACCCAAGGAGGGGGTTGCTAGGAGTCAGATCTGGCTCGACAGCAGTGCATTGCATTGTGTAGCAAGGAGTGGCAGTGACTTCTCTTTTCCTTCATTGGAGGTTAGGGAGAGACTTGTTTTCACCTTGGCTGTGAAATGTTTAAGAAATCCCTCTTCAATCTCTGACAAGTTACACATTGGCTTATAAGAAATCCTCTGTCCTGTGGTCAGTTGCTTTCCCTGGGTTGACAAACTCTGGTTAAACAGCGTGCCCAGTGTGATGCAGTGGAGAACACACGAGAGAGTGAATTCAGCCAGCAAGGTTCGGATCAGGACTCGGCCTCCTTAGAGCTGTGAGACCTTGGTCAGATCATTGCACCTCTTAACTAAAGTTTTCCTCTCTCTGCACTAAGAGCAGCATCGTCTACCTGACAGGGTTTCTGTTGAACCAAATTGGAATCCACAAGGGTTTGTGCAGGCACCAAAGACAGTCCCCAGCGTAGGCAGCACTCAGCAAATGTTTCTTTAAAATGTAGAAATCGTGGCAGAGACTCTGGGCTCTCTGTAGACCTTTAGAACTGGAGGGACCATCCTTTCATTCTTCAGAGGAAGCATCTGAGGCCTCGAGAGGTTTAGTAGGCAACCCCGCTTCCCGAATCCCAATCTGGCCTTCTTTCCAAATCCCAAAGCCCCAGTGGTGACAACAAAGTCAAAACCATGTGCAAAGTAACCATGCTGCCAGCCCCCTCTTACCTGCTGGGCACATCTCTGCTCTGGTGGTTATAAACTCGTAGAGCCAGACACAGTCTCCACCTCCCCCTTTCACAGGCCCCTCCAGCCTATGCTGCACAAAGCACAGTCAGTTAATGAGACCAGTGTTCTTCCCTGTTGACACAGTAGTGGGCTTCAAGTAGTAGCAGATTGTTGATAACCATTTCCTGAACACCTGCTGTGTCCCGAGCTCTCTGGAGTAAGAATGAAAAACCTGTTCTGTCCTCAAGGAGCTTATAGGTTTCTGGGAGAGAGATGCATAAATGAAAACATAAAAATTAAACCATTGTAGGAAAAGAGGTAGAACACAATTCTTTGTGCAGTTAGAATAAACAATTAAAAATTAAAAGTTGCTGTGATGTAGTCAGTGTCATGAGACAAAGTGTATGTGAGCTGCTGTATGGAAAGTGAATTTGCTCTGTAAACTTTCACCCAGATCACAATAAAAATTAAAAAAAAAAAAAAAGTTGCTGTAAAATCCATTCCAACTCATAGTGACCCTATGTGTTTCAGAGCAGAACTGCTCTCCTTCGAGTTTTCAGTGATGGGATCTTTCAGACATAGATCACCAGGCCTGACTTCCACGTGCCTCTGGGGGCGTTCAAACAACCAGTCTTTCCATTAGTAGCTGAATGCTGAGCCATTTGTACCACCAGCCCAGGATTCCTACAGTTTGAATCCAAAATGCAAACCCATTGCTGGGGAGTCAATTTTAATTCATAGTGACCTTATAGAGTAGAATTCCCCCATAGGGTTTCCAAGGCAATAATCTTTATGGAAGCAGACTGCCTCATCTTTCTCCCAAGGAGCAGCTGGGGGGTTTCAACCCTGACCTTTCAATGAGCAGTAGAGGAGTTAACCACTGCATCACCAGGACTCTTTGCAATTAGAGTAGGGTTCCATTAATTATCACTGCATAGAGTGAGAGCTTTGCAAAGGAAGCAGGGTTTGCATTTCATTCTAACAGTTGAATACGAGTTCTGAGAAGATGAGCTTTATGTGGTAATGTGCTCAACTACTAACTGAAAAGTTGGAGGTTCAAGTCCACACCGAGGTGCCTTGGAAGAAAGGTCTGGTGATCTACGGGCAATTCCTGGGTTATAACCAAGATCTGTCCCTGTGTCTTTAAGAATTTGTGGGTAAGTTGGAACAGGTGCATATGGTTCTTATTCAGTCTTATTTTAGTGCAAGAAAAGGCTTTAAGCCTTTTCCATGATTTAAAAGCTGCATGTGTGGCAAGTGAAGGTGGTTGTGATAAAGAATGTGTTGCAAGTAGGATTGGTTCAGTAATTTCAAAGTGAGGGCAAATTCGGATTACATTAAAGGGAAAGTGTCCCTCACTTACTGTTATCGAGTCAATTCCAGCTCATAACAACCCTTGTACACAAGCAGACTGCATCATCTTTCTTCCTCAGGTTAATAAGTCGGGCGTTTGTAACCCAGAGATTACCTGTACTTCCAGAAAATCACCCATTGAAAACTCTATGGAGCACAGTTGTATTCTGACACACAAGAGATCACCATGAGTCAATTCCAACTTGATGGCAACTGGCTTTATAAACTAAGTGAAGTCATTCAGAGAATCTCGAAAAGCTATCGGAAACCCTGGTCCCAAAGTTCAGCTACAGCACCTCCTTTTCCCCATCACCATCCAAATGTATTGAGGGCTGAGTGTGTATCCATGAAAGTGCTTGCCCTGAAACACACAGCCTTGATGGTCACGCCTGGTGGTGGCTCATAGTACTTCAGAGAACATCCACATCTAAATGAGCATTACTTGTTCTAGAGGGCTGTTCAGAAGAAGGAGAAAGGAGAAGCTTAGAGAGGAGATGACATCTGAACTGGTTGTTGAGTCTAGCAAACAGACAGAATAAGGAATGGTAGCTAGGCAAGGGGAGCAGCATTTATAAGGGCCTAGAGGACTGAAACAAGGTATGTTGAGGGGAACCAAGGGAGTTCCTCATGGTTGGAGCGTAAGGTGATTCAGGATGGAGAGGCAGAGGGTGGGTGGTGCCGAGAGACTGAGGAGAGACAGGGAGAACTAAGGAGTCTGGCCTTGATCCAGTAGGCAGTGGGGAGGATTTTGGAAGTTTGTAGTCAAGTCAGTGATACGCTCAGATCTCTGTTTGAGAAAGGTAGCCAGTGGTGTTGACTCACTGTGGCCTTCTTCAGGGCGTGGGACTTAGGAGCTTCCATGTGATTCTCCGGATTTTGACTTTCCAAAACCTACATGCTGAAAGCAACTTGAGAAACTCCTAAGGGAACATTACTTTTTTAAATAACAGCTTTTCTGAATCCTCTTTCCCCAGGTAGTGATAAGCTGTACCACCAGTGGCTCTCCACAGTCCGGGTAAGTGTGTACCCCTTCAGAGCCACCAGGCCTCATTCTGAGCCTCCTGGCAGCCCTTGGCTTCCCCTGATGCCCACAAGGGCTGTCCTTAGGGAGCACTCCATTCCCTCAGCTGAAGATACTTTTGTCTTTAAAGCCAGGCCATTCTCATGCCACTTGGAGACTAGGATGAGACTGTCCAAAGCCATCCCTTGGTCAGAAAGGCAAAAGAAGTATTCTCATTTTAGGAAGCCAGCTGAGGCTTGTTGAATGGGATGTTGTCTTAGAGTATTTCTGGAGTCTCTTTCTAGGACCAGTAGGCTTTTAGTGATCATGGAAATCACAAATGGGTGCCTCTTGCTGCTCCGCTTTTCCCAGCAAAGGCTCCTGGAGAAATGGAGAACATATCACTGAGAGATTTTTTTCATCCCCTCACTGTTGTTGTAAACCATTTATTGTTGTGTCCGGAGCCAGGTCCTTAGGGCTTCAGAAGCCATGAAAGAATTCAAACTCTTGCCTTCCTTTTCCATCAGTTTATCAGTGCATATGTACCCTGTGCCAGGCACCATGCTGGGTGCTGGGCATACAGTGGGAAGCAGGACCCGGGAGCCCTCATCTTGTTGGGGAGAGTGGGATGTAAACAAGCAACTCCAACATAATGTGATAAGTGTTCTCTCCTGTTTATGGGTCAAGTGCGCACCTGCCAAGGTGGGTCCCTTGGAAGTGGCTACAGTTGGCCAAAAGTAAGCACTTCCTTAATGAAAGACTTCTTTTGTTCTTCTTGTATAGCCAAACACAGCCTTGGCAAGTCATAGACAAGCAATAAGGACTTGTTGATTGATTGATAAAGGAAGTTTTAATGCTCTAAAGGACCATTTAAATAGGATACTAAGTAATTTTGGAAAGCAGTATGGAATAAATGAGTAGGTAAAAATTTCATATTGTCCTACAACAGAGAAAATATTCTAGATCAGATTTTAACATTTTTAACTAAATCTCAAAATGTCTAATGTGAGCAGTTACCAAGAGTTGTGCTATAATTTAAGCCAGTGATTGTGTTACTGTATCTTATTCTCCTATACACCCACTGGTTCTGGCCTTTCTCTATTCATATTTGTTTTCCACATATCAATTGGAATTATCTTTCCAAACCTCCACATATCTGATTATGTGGTGCATTTGATTTAACACCCTCTAAAATATAGACCCCTTCACCTGGTATTGGAGGCCCTTCATGATCTGATTCCATCTGGCCTCCCCATCCCTGGATGGAGCTTGAAGACCTATGCTGAGTAAATCACAAAAGGACAAATATCGTAAAACCTCACTTATATAAGAAGACAAGAAAAGGCAAATGTATAGAGACCAAAGTTGATTAGTGGTTACCATAGGTGGGAGGAAGGGTAAAAGCAGGATGGTTAATGGTGATGGAAAAATCACCATTGATTAAGGGTAGGGTTGCAAGGCTGATTATTGTAACTGTTGTCAGTATGTTGTACACTTATTAAAAGTTGAATTGGCAAAAGTTGTGTAATAGATCCATTTATAATGACAAAAGGAGAGTTTGAGAGTAGCTGCTTACATAGAAACACACCTCGTGGATTTCATTCCTTGGTTTGGCGGTTTAGGGTCATAGTTTCATGGAACATCCCAGTTAACTGGTCTAATGAAGTGTTTAGTGTTTCTCTTCTACCTCCTAGTTCATTGCATAGTGCCTGGGATCTTAAAAGCTTGCAAACAACCATCCAAGCCACAACAATTGGTCTCTGTTCACCTAGAACAACAGAGGAAGAAGAGGAGGAATAGGAGGAGGATATGGAATGTGTGGCTAATTGCCTCCATGAACAACTGCTTCCTTTGCCAGGAGACCAGAAGAACTGGATGGGACACAACTACCATTACTGAATATTTTGATCAAAGATTTCATAGACAAATCTTGATTGATAGGGGAAAATACAGAACAGAATTGCAAATTCTTATGGATATTAGATTTTCTGGAGCCATGGAGGGTGGGTGAACCCCTGAAACTGTTGCCCTGAGATAATCTTTAAACTTTAAACCAAAAATATCCCTTGAAGTCTTTTTCAAACCAAGCAGTTGATTAGTTTAACTGTTGCTGTTGTTATGTGCCATGGAGTCAGACCCAACTCATAATGACCCCTCCTTCGGTTTCTGAGGTGGTATCACTACGGAAGTAGATTGCCCAACCGTCCTTCTGAGGAGTGGCTGTTGGGTTTGAACCACCAGCCTTCTGGTTAGCTGGTAAAAAGAAAAGAAAAAAAGTCTGCCTTGAGCATTGTGCACTTTTAAGAACTATCTATATAGGATCAAATTAACCACAGCAACTCAAAAGATTAGATAAGTACCTTAGGGGGCAGTGAGTTTATATTAATGAGGAGGGGACAGCTCAGATAAGGAGGATGAGAATGGTTGCCCAACACGAAGGATGTAATCATTGTCACTAAATAATACCTGTAGAAGCTGTTAAATTGGTGTATGTCTTGCTCTGTATATTCTCAACAACAACAAAATAAATAAAATTTAAAGAAAACCAGAATGAGGAAGGGAAGGTACATGGCTGAGGGTAGCATATTTTCAGAGGAGCTGGACAATCCTGGCTAATCAGACCTTGAATGTTCTGCCCTGGCTTGGTTGTAGCTATAGAGTCCATTGCTATTAAGTGTACCTTCATGTTGTCCATGGTAACTAGAACTTCTTAAAAAAAAAAAAAACTTACTGCCGTTGAGTTGGATCCAACTCATAGCCCTCCTTGGGTTTCCGAGGCTGTATCACTACAGAAATAGATTGCCCCATCTTCCTTCCAAGAGCAGCTGGTGGATTTGAATCACCAGGCTTCTAGTTAGCAGTCAAATGCCATAGGCACTACACCACCAGAGCTCCTAAAAGGCTAGCATCACAGGTTCCACCAAGCTTTGAACTCGGATTGCTGGATTCAGAGTCCAGAATGCTAGAAGCTGTATATTACTATACTATAACCCTTGCCCCAGAAAGCCTGTGATGAGCTTTCCTTCCAGCCAGGGTACAGGTGCCAAACAAAATACAGAGTCTAAAGTCTCCCCTCAGCTAGTTATCACAAAGAAGGATTATCCATCCTCATTCCCCATACCCCCACCCCCAAATACCCACCCATAACGATTCTACCATAACTGTAATCGTAACTACCTGGAACCAATTACCGTATATAGGCTTGTTTTTCTAATTAAATTACATGCTTTTGAAATGTTGCTTAACTTGATTGAAGAGAAAAGATCTTTGTTGGTGTTGGATTACTATGTCTTCAGTCCAAATTTCTAATTGATATTTTCATTATAGAAAGGAAGTGGAGCTATTCTGAATACCGTAAAAACAAAAGCAAACCCAGCCATGAAGACTGTCTATAAGTTTGTAAGTACTGATCTTAGTGTCGGAATCTAAGTAGCTATGTCCCGTGGCATCATAAGACTCTAAAATGCACCTGACCCTGAACTGCAGAGATGATTCAGGGGCTACTAGGCTATTTCCAAAAGCCCTCAGAGCTCTGAGGATGATTTAGCCTTGATATTTTATGATCAGTTCAGTAACATATTTAATTTAAGGTGCTGCTGCTAACAGTAGCTATGATAGAGAAATGGTAGGCTTCTGGTTTTAGCCTAGACAGTTGACTAAAATTCAGGCTGCTCTGTGCCCATATCCCTATGACATGGAGGCATGGTCTCTCAGGTGTGCTAGCAAACTTTTCCTGCATGTATCCTCATTGTTAAGTCAACTAAAGCAGCTCCTTTGCAGATTCCTGAAGAGTGTTCGTGGCAGGACACACCCCGTAATTTTTCTCCCAAATTCTTCATCGTCTCTCTCATGGCTGCCCTGTAGGAAATGGATTGTTTGTGAGAGTCGTGCCCACAGCAGAATGAAAATAGAAGCACCTCAGTTCCCGATGCTCCACCATTTACAAGTCTCAAGTATTTTCTCTGGCAATTTCCCTTGCTTGCTAATTTGACCCTGAACCACTTAAGTCAGGTGCTTTTGTTTTATTTCCACTTTTTCAATTTTGTTTGTCCTTTCTGTGCTAAATTGCTGTAATTGTAATGGGCTGGGTGGCTGTCAGTTGAACCACATGAGTCTAAAATGATAAGAAATAAAAGCCAGGATGTCTGTCGAAATGAGCCTGAGGAAATGGCGCCATAGCTAGAATCCCAGAGCTGTGTCTGTTCAGGCCGTTCAGCCTGGGCGGGAAATTGGTCTTGAACCCCTGTCCTGGGGAAATGGAATAGATGTTCTGAATCTTGCGGCCAGAAAGGGCTGCTGCTCTGCTGTTACCGGTAGCCATCACCAGGCTGCTGAGGTAAATGATTACAGTGAGCAGAAGAAGGGCTTCAGGAGGAAAAAAAATTCTGTGCCATCAAAATGCAGAAAATAAAATCTCTGCAGTCTCCTTCAGGGATTTTTTTTTTTCTTTAACTTTAACGTTGTATTTGTTTTCATAGCCATTATGTTTTTGACTTGATGATCCCATTTTTTTCTTCCTTTTTCTAGTAATCAGAGAAGGTGATTCACAACGGAGTGAAATCAAGCATAGTCCCTGCTGGAAACAGAAAGGGAATCTTAACTTAAATTAATTTTTCATGCAGGCAAAAGATCATGCAAAAATGGGAATAAAAGAGGTGAAAAACCGCTTGAAGCAAAAGGTACTTGAAGTTCTTATTCAAAATGTATAAGCACCGTGTATGAAATGCGTGGCCACAAAAAAGTATGATGTGATCAATAGAAGGCTGTTTGATACAGTGTTGTTAGCACACTTCAAAATGCATTACCAGCTGTCCGGGAGTTTTCACACTGTTATAAATATTCACAGACAAAAAACTGTCTTCAAATAACATTAAGACTCTAGTTTAAACCCACAAAGGCGAGGAAGTTCAGAGTTACCGCTGTTAGCGCTGTCGGTCTGTCCCTTGCCAGCCCCACTGGGCCTAGGGTTCCCAGGGGTTTGTAGAAATTGGCTTGGCCTCGCCATCCCAGCAGCACCCCCACCTCCAGCCGCCCTCTGTCTTGTGGCTGGCTGAAACCAAAACAAGGAGGCATCCCCCGGGACATGACTCCGGTGGCTCCGGCATGCACATGGCCAGCACGCAGATGCAGGGCACAAAGGGGCGGGCTGGAGGAAGACGCTGCAGGCTCCCCTCACGGTTGTGGATTAAATGAGAGGAGCCCAGCGATTGATTTCTGAGGCTCTATGAGAGAAGAGGAGCTTCTGATTATCTTCCTGAACCATCAGTAAGATATGAGAATTTTATGAAATCACACTGGCTAAGATTCCCCTGACCCGATCTCTACACTTGTACAATGAGGTGTGAATATAACAAAAAGGGCATTTTTGCATATTGTTATTAACAATTGTCATCGTTATTATTATTGTCAGCCTTCATTAAGCACTTGCTACACATGGTCCAGTCTAGCAGCTTTCACATTTGATCCTTTGAATAACCCTGTGGGGCATTATTCCCATCTCATGACTAAGAAGATTACAGAGAGGTGAAGTGACTGCCAGGGTCCCACTGTGAGAGCTGGCAGATCTGGGGTTCGACCCCAGACTGCCTACTTCCAGGTTCTGTGATCTTTCACTGCAGTGTTTTCCACTGCCTTCTTAAAAGAAGTGTTTTGTTTTCCTGAAGATGTTTGGAGTCACTTACTTCATTATCCTTACACCCCAAATGTACTACTCTAATAAAGGCCTTTGTCTATCTTGGGAGTTTAAAAAAATAATAATAAAAAACAGTTTTAATGTTATGAAGTCAGAAAGACCTTCTAATTAACTTGAAATGGTCAAAGGAATTGATTCCTTTCTTTTAATTGGAAAATGATTTGCTCTGACTAAGCATTTAAATTCCGAGTTTCAGCTGAGAGTGAATTTTTAACAACTGAGCGTCAAGTCCGAAATAGTCAGTCCAGGTAGACCTTAACTGTCATCTGCTGCACCCCACCAGAGACTGGCAGTGGACTTCTTCTCTTGGATGTCATTTAAGTCCCTGACAGGACCTTCTCATCCCCTATCCCAGTCTCGTGCCTGAATTTGAGTGGATGTAAAATAGAGGACATAGATGGGGGATTCTCTCTCCAAAATTTCCCTCTTCCCATCCTTGGCTCTGGCTGGTATTAGAACATCACCTGAAATAAGGAAAGAAAAAGGTCCTGCCTGTGTGCACTGGACAGATACACCCTCACTGGTCAGACTTGCCATCTGCAGACCATTAAGCAAGAGACATCTCCTTACCTCCCTACTCATGTATGTATTTGGCCTTAAGAAAATCCCCTTTTTATATGTAACATCTCTGCAAATAACCAGTTACACTCATGGTTTTAATGTTGTTGTTCAAAGGTTCATTTAACCAGTCTAGACCCCTTTCCTTCCACACCACCTCCTTTTCCTTCCTTGATAGTATCTCAGGCAGATCTTTGTCCCTCCCCTTCTCTTCTTCCCCCTGCCAGTCTTTTCAAGAATAGCTCAGGAGATAATGTTCTATAAAGAGTGTCAGTACATTTCAGGTGACACGAATGGTGAAGGCATTTTATAGAAATGTGGCTTGTCACCATTGGACTGTTGACAGATCTATTAGTGCACCCTTTTCAATTTTCACTTTTCCCCCCTTTGGTCTTACAGATTTCTACAGACCTGATATGTTGCAGTTGTTCTTGGAAGAGCTATTTTGTATTTGAAACACTAGCATTATTCAGTATGTACAGGACTTGGGTCTTCTGCAGTGCTCTCCAGCTCCCTTTCTGGAGCTAATTTAGGCTTTGGCTTCACCTGACCTCACACTGCAGTAGAAAATATTTCCTTTGCTCTCTTGTCCCCCTCCCCGCTACCCCACCCCTTCATATGATAACATATCTATGTGGCTCCCCAGATGTGCCTAATGCAGACATCTCAAGTTTGGTTTTTGCTATGAAATTGAGGCAGTTCCCAACAAAGATCCAATTTTCAAATGTACTGGGTTGCCACCTGGCCTCCTCTAACTCTGCATAGCAATGGTGACCTCGCAGATATAATCAAGAACCCAGTCTTGCCCTCCTCGCTCTCGCCTTGGGTTTGAATTGCAAATAGAAAATGTGGTGCCGACCTGCAGAGAGGTCACCATGGTGTGTGGAGGGTCCTTCTCTAATGTGACTCCATCCCTTGTTCATTTGTGCTGCAGATTTTCAAAGCATCTGAAATAGAAGCTTTCAGAGTGTCGTGTAACCATTGGCAAATAATTGTTAATAGACACTGTAGTGTGGCTTTATTCCAGACCTGCTTGGCTCCAGCCCAACAGCAAAAAAGAAGGATGGATAACATATTTCTCTGGACAAATGGAGCGAAGTGGTCAAGCTCTTCTATGGCTTGGCGTCTTTTGAAGTCTGACTTGCTCAAAATTAGGAAAAAGAAGAAATGGCAAAGATGCCATCCAGCCATCACTTTCTAAAGGGAGAATGTAGTTCTTTCCTCTAGAGTATCTACCTGCCACACCTGGCCCAGAGAAGAATGCTGCATGGCCAGGCTTGTCACTCTTAATAAATTGCATTCCCATTGCAGCACCTTACACCAGCCTGGCATTAGAGGGCCCTGAAAAAATAAATAAATAAAAGTGATGGACACACACGCACACATATTCCTCCTCACCTGCTGGGAGCGTTAAGACCTTCACTTAAGGATGTCATTTTTTGGTCTATCGAGGGACCCCAGAAAAAATTATGTTTTTCTTCAGCATCAAAATGATTTAATCACATGGGCCCACTTCCCAGCCATTTTTAAAGTTTCTAAATATTTGATCTCTAAAAAGCAAATTGAGCTTGTTGGTTTAGAGTCTCTCTGTGATTGAAAGGAGCAAATTCACAGTTGGGTTAGCAAAGCCTTGAGTTTCTGGCCAAACATTTCCCAGTGTATTGAAGGGAGTGAGTAAGCATGTGTGGGGCGGGGAGCTCTAGGTAGACTCTCACAGAACAGACATTTTCACACTTTATCACACAACTGTCAGCTCCCTGTCTCCAGACACATTAAAATACGTGTCAGCCTCAATCACAGAAATTCCAACTTTGGGTACTATTTTGATATCAATATTCATGTTTTAATTTGCATTTGCTGTGATGTGAGGTAGACTGGGGAAAGAAGGGCCCTGTAGGAATCTGAGAATGAAGATAGTTCTTCCACGAGCAGTCCGAGTCAGAGGCAGTAGTGCCTTTGCTTCACACCCCTGGGGGGATGGCCTCCAATCCCCCACACACACACACCGCACCATGGTCTGGTGTTTAGGCTTCTGAAGCACACAGACTGGGTTCAGTGCTAGTCATACGGGCTGTTAGCTATGTGAACTTGAGTAAATTACTCTGAACCTAGTTTTCCTTATCTGTAAATTAGAGGAAATATGGATTTTACTGAATTGTTATGAAGATTAAAGGAGATCATTGGTCTAAACAGCAATGCTTAGAAACTACTCAGTAATGGGAATTTCCATTCTGTCTTATTTTCTTATACCTCACATCTGGAACAGCAAATCTGTTCAGCAAACACCCACATGCATGTATTCCAAGACGTGATTGGTGTGGAATCACCTCCCTTTTGGTTATCCACACAGCCACCAGAGCCATCTTTCAAGTACACAGCTCCAACTGAGCCACTCCCTGGTTAAAGCCTTCCACACCTTCCCACTCCTTGGCTGGAGCTACTTGCCCCCAGCCCCTAGACCATCTACCATTCCTAAACAGGCTCTGCCCTCTGTCTTCTCCTAGTGGGAATGCTCTACTCCTCTGCCTCTTGAAGTCCTGTCCTCGGCTCCTTCTGAGTCCAGTCCCCACCCTAGCTCTTACCCAAGGCCACTCAGAACCCCTCTGTTGGCATTAATCTTTCTCCTCGGGTCTCCCGAGACCCTGGGTTCCTGGGTATTCATGTCTGAGGACTTAACGTACTGTGCCTGCCTTCTCCACAGAGGAGTGGAGATTAGATCTCACTCATGATTTTTTTATTCCAGTGCCTGAAATGTAGTAAACACTCATTCGACAGGAATTGAATAGTTAGTTCTCTGACTCCTTAGCTTTACCGAGGGACAGGAACTGGTTGGAGCCCAGTGCTCTGGGCCAAGCTGCGGGGCTCCTAGGAAGAGATTTGGTACCCTGAGGTCACCTCTGATATGCAGTTTGGTCTACTGTCTTCCTCCTTTGTGACCCTTAGGAATGGAGCAAGTTTATTCCTCCCGTCAACTTCATGTTTTTTTTTCATTTTTTGAATGACATTTAGAAGGTGTTTATATTTTCTTCCTGTTTTACAAACTAAATGCATGTTAATTAAAGAAAATTCCACATATCAGACAAGCAAAAAGAAAATAATCACCTGTTTTATAACCTTCATTTCCATTTACTATGTCCTGAACATTTTTTAGACCATTAACGTTTCTTCTACATGTCATTGTTTTAAATGACATTAACTGTTATCCAATGGACGTGTGAACTGTTATCCAATGGACGTGTGTACCAGACATTATTTAATCACTCCTGTTGTTCCATGCTTTTGTTACTTTCAGTTTTTTTCTAGGCAGATATCCTTGTACGTAAAACTTTGTAAGAACTTTTAATTATTTCATTAAGATAAATTTCTAGAAATGGAATTAGTTGGCCAAAGGAAATATATATCTTTTAGGTTTTTTATATAAACTGCCAA